CCAAAATCATATTTTCACTTGCTACTATTTTCTTATTATTTTATGAATAATTAAATTATTTTCCGTATAAATTTTATAAAAATTTAGAGCAAACCCAAATAAGCCAAACGGATAAAAAGGTCTCTCATAAATGTTTCTATCATATCCTCTCTTTTAATACTTTTATTAATGATTAATCTCTTTCCATTTTATAATGCCTTTAGCTCTATAACATTTGTGTTAGCTATTTGGCCACCCAGATCATGACGGCTTAATTGGACGGATCTGATCGCATCAAAGGTAACGGTAGTACCCAACAGTATTAGATTATTCTATTTAAAAGGCTCACATAATTTTAAATTTAAACATACTTAATCATTAAATTTAACAAAAATTTAACATATATATAATTTTTATTTAATATAAAAATTTAACATATATATAAATTTTTATTTAATATAAATTACTATTAATTTATATTATATGTATAGATATAATTTTACAGAGGTCAATAAAGGAAACCCTTGGCTTACAGTACAAAAAAAAAAAAAAAAAGCATTGCAATGTCTCTGAGGCTTGCTAGGGCATCGCCCTAGCCGCCTTCTGCCGGTGTGCCTGGTGTTGCTCTCTCCATCATTCGCGTGCCGAGGGAAGTATTCTCCCCTTACATTTTTTTCTTTCGATTTTCCTTGACCGGCATGGCGGTTTGCCAGCTGGTTGATCCTAGTTTTTTTGGCTGGATCGGCTAAGTTCAATTCATTCTTGGAAGTTTTATCTAGGTCTTCTATTCCTGGTAGATTTCCCAATCTCAAATGTTCTTCGTTTCGTGGTGTTCCTGCTTTGTTGGTTTTGTAGGAGAAATTTTATGCCCTAGTCGAACCTTTTAAATTTTCGTTTGTTGGTTTCTTCCCCTCTCATCGACATAGTCTTGCTTCGATAAAGAAATTTTTTTTCAACTTTAAGTTGAATGGAGTTTTTTCTGTTACTTTATTGGATCAATCTCATGTGCTCATTAAGTTGGAGAACGATCTTGACTATAGTGGGGTTTTTTGTCATATGCCTTATCTGATGTTTAATTGTTTCATGAAGGTGATCAAATAGTCTCCTTCCGATAATATTGGTGTTGATTCTCCCATTGTTCCGATATGGATTTCATTCCCTAACTTGCGAACTCATTTCTTTTCCCCTCGTATTGGAGCTTCTTTTTAGTAATCCTCTGAAAATGGATAACACCACTGCGTTGGGGTCTCGCCTGTCTGTGACCCGTGTGCTGGTGGAAATCGATATTACCTAAAAATTTCATATAAAATTTGGCTAGGTCCTGAGAAATTATGGTATTTTCAACAAGTTGTTATGGAGGATTTTTCTCCTTTTTGTGCCAAATGTAAACGTCTAGTCCACTCTTTGGGTGCTTGCATCCCTTCACTAGATAATGACTTGGTTGTTGCTTATTCTAATCCTTAACTTGTTTTAAGGGTTAATGAGGAAAATGATCTTCCAGTGGGTGGTGGGGTTTTTGTTGATAGTGTTCATACCCATCCTAGTCCCAATATGGCTGGCCCGTCACTTGTTGATTTGCCGCTTTTAAATCAAGGTGATATTAATGTGGGTAGTGTGGATGTGTCTCCTGCTTCCCTGCCTTTTATTAATTCTTATGGTGTTGAAGTTGTTGGTGCTGATGGAGTATGTTTAAATTATAATCCTATTTCTAGTTTGATTGGTACGATTTTAGTTTCAAATCCGTCTAGCCCCATCGTTCCCCAACAACTCATTTCTCTGATGTGTCGCTTGTTCTATTGTCTCATCCGATCGTGGATGGTCGCTAATGGTGAAATGGCGGTTTGTGGTGCCTTTGATAGTGATGTCTATCATGTTGTGACTCCTGCCCTTCTGGCCATGAATGATATTAATTGTTATATTAATCTTAGAGCTAGTCCTACTTGTGATGATGTTGTGGAGTTGTTAGATGGTAATTCTGTCTCTTTAGTTGATGGGGGTGGTGAAATCTTGGCTGAATTGGGGGAGGCCATAGTAGTGGTGCCTCTGATGGATATGCCTATTTCTGTTATCTCGAATGCTAATATGTTAGCTCATTTTGCTAGAGATAGTGTTCTGAGGCAATATGATTGGTACATTATGACATTTCTTCTGCAAGAAGGGAGGATATTATTGAAAGTGATTGGGAAGCTGGCTCGCTCGATAATAATGTTAAGCATCGAAAATGAAAATCTAAAAAGAAATAACTTTCTTTTTTGGAAGCTTTGTGGCTGTGGTGTTTGGATTTATTTCAGTTTTGGTTGTTTTGTTGAGAAGGAAATGAAACAGGACTATGATGAAGCAATTTTACTACATACGCCTCAAATGGCCAGGGTTTGGTTGGCAACTTTGGTGGCTCGTTTTAGTTGTTTGGTTGCTTGTCGGCTTGAATTCTTGGCTGTTTATCTTTTTACTCCTTGGATGGCCCCTCCCTGACAACTAGGTGTCGGTGTGAGTCCTATTATTTCTGGTTTGATCAGTCTTTCGCTTTGATTACTTTTGTCTTGCTGTTTTTTGTGTTTCTTTGATTGTAATTCTCCATATGTGACCATTATGTGGTCTTGTGATGTATCTCTTTCAATTAATAGATTTTTGTTTGGTTAAAAAAAATTATTAAATTTATTAAAAATGTTTTAATTTCTGTACAAGTTTTTTTAGAAATATCAAATATAAATTTCAACATTTCTCAATAATTAATTTATTTAAAATTCCGATATATTAAGTATATAGGAATACACAAAAATGAATTTATGTTAACCACCTTTTTAAACAACAGTTTAAAATTGGCAAATAAATATGAGAAATGGGAAAAAAACTGAGCTTGCACGGAAAAGTTGACCTTTAAGGGAAAACGCAAAATAAATTTGCATTTATATATATATATATATATATATATATATATATGAAATTGATCATAACTAATCCCAATATTAATATTTAGCCGAGAATTTTTTAGGCAAAGCAACTTGTATGCACATATTGCTCTATGTTCGTAGTTCTTTTATTTTCCCTCTTTCATCAAAAAGTGGAGAAAAAAACATTATTTTCCAGCGCCACTTAGCCTTCTATTGTGATTAAGTGAGCCTGCAATGCTACACAGCTCACCTTGGCTTATTGGTTGAGAGCTTATGCTTCCAACTAAAAAGTCTTGGGTTCGAATCTTTGTGTATGCGTTGTGTGTGAGTTTATCTTAAATGACCTAAATGTCTAAAAAAAAATAGCCTGCAATGCTATATTGTCATGATTCTATAAAAATGTCCTATCTCACAGAATCTTCAAACCGATGCAAGCATAGACATTAAAAACAAAAAATCTCAATCCTGATAACTTAAAAGAAGTTATTTCAACATTCAATACATTCACATTATCAATCAGATAAGCATTTCTTAACTATGAATAAAGTTTATAGCATAACATGAAATAATATATTTAAATAATGAGTTTATATCTGAATTGCATCGTTAATTTCTATAATATGTAAATTTGATTATATTTCCAGAATGTAGGTTAAAACTTAAAAGGAACCATATGACCATTCAAAATTTGTTTCTTAAGACACAAATAAGTATAACTTGATTTGCAGAAAATCTTTTATTTAAATAATTAAGCAAAAATAATTAATATATCGTATGATAATTTGAACGTATTCCAAAAATATAGGTTAGCATATTCATAATTAATTATGTATAAAATTCTTATATTTAAAAAATGAGTTAAATTTGATTAATCTTTTTATCAATTTATAATTTTATTTCGGTATCACACACCCAATCAGATTTTGACTGCTTACCACACGAATTTGCTAAAATTTAGGTTTCTCTATCCTCTCATCCTCTGTTTCTTTCGCAATATAACAAATAGATGTCTTCATTAAAGTAAGGTTAACTGGAACTGAATCAAAAGCCTAATGCGAAGACCAACAAGGCATTATGGTCCCAATGTTCGCCTAGACCTTTGAAATCATCAAATTCAACTATATTCAAAGATTATAAAGTAAGACTGATAATGCCTTGTTGCGCTACCCCTTAAGAGTATAATCCTTAAGTAGGGACTCCTCTTCTAGCAAAATAAAGAAAAAGCCATGCTCTTAGAAAGCTCTAAAAAGGAGAGATATCTCAATCATCCATAAATTATATGAGGTTTAACATAATATGTCATGGGTATATCCATCCCGATTTTCTACATGATAAATGAAGAGAATGTCAAACTTAACAGGAGATGTTGGTTATGATGGTGACATTGAATGGTGCCATAACTAAAATCAAGACAATCATAACAAAATTATAAGATGGTGGTCAAACCACCTTAAATGAGCTAAGGGAAAGCAACATAGACTCTTCAAAAAAATTCTCAACCCAGCTCCAATGGCGCTCTATTTTCTAAATACGAAGCATGCGAGCTAAAGACATTGTTATCTAAACTCAAAGACTGTTTTGTCTAGAAATACTTTGACATGTCAAGGTCATATCGTAAGGTGGTAGGTAGTTCAATGACTTGCTATTATTACCGAGGAAAGTCTTGTCAAGAAGTTGTTGATACAATTTTGTCTCAAATTTGGAAAGGTTATTACTAATATTAAAAGGATGATTGAAGAATGTTTCAACCACGAGAAACAAAATATACATATTAGATTGTCGAGTGCCAACCATCCATATGAAATAAAAAAAATGGCACTTGCACATCTACATTAACTTTTGAGGCCTAGATGATGTAAGAACCAACTATGACTTATCTCAATCCATAAGATAATTAATTATCAATTGATGTCCACATAATAAATTTTTAGAGTGAAAAAAAAAACAATCTTAAGATTAGCTATTTCAAATATGGCTTTAGAGTTTCATCCCAAATATTTCTTAATTTCAAATTGATTTATTAAGGTATTAAAATTGATCAAAATATTGTTAATTTTGACTCCTGAAGAATAAGATCGAAAATATGAACTGAATTTCCATTCAATTCCTTCCAAATTTTTAAAAATAAATCAGGTGATTCAGCCAATCCGACCGAGCGCAAACCAATACAGGCGCAGGTATTCGGATTAGGATGCTCTCCAAACACTCGATGGATGATTCATCCTTCGATCTTCCTAATCGAAGTTCCTACAAACTCTTCTCTGCCCATATGGTTGCAGATATGCTACCGGCAGGTCGCATCGCCGCGAGGGTTTTCGTTTCTTGCCTACTTCTTCTCTGCTTGGAGCCGCTCCTCGCGGTGGGGAGACCATGCGAGTTTAGTGCTACCTTCGGCAACAATCTTTACAACTACAGCTTGGCAGCGCCCAGCCAGAAGTACCCCCATGGCGTCATGAGCGAAGACGGGTAATGGTCTTCTCATCAATCCGATTTTTAAAATTTCTTCTGTTTCGTAAGATTTTGCTATGGCATTCGTGATTTGATTCGCAAAATCACGAGCGGTTCCTCTTTTGGAGCAACCGTTTCGTTTTCGGGAGATTGCTAGAAAAATTCCTGTTCAGTATTTCACACTGCTAGGTTAGAATGGATTAAAAAAAATAAGGAAGTTAGAGGGAGTTAAGTTGAAATTTAAAATTTTTTATTACGAAATCTAAAAATCATACAAGAGATTCTTTGCGTATCTTTAAGACGAGTTATTGCAAAAAATTGAACAAGAATTTCAATCCTATAAAGCTTGTATATTTACAAAAACATTAAAAAAAATAAATTGAACTTAAAAAAAAGTTAATAATAAATTAAGAAATTATCAAATTATTAAACAACATCTGCAAATCAAGTGAAATGAATAAACTAAAGATATAAATAAAGTAAGCCATCAGTCAAATTACTTAATACTGAAGGACCTTCAATTAAAAGCCATATTCAATGTTTACGCAGCATCCATACACTAAGCGGAGGGCGTTCACCGAAAGGGTTTTTACCTTTTAGTGCATAAGGCATTTCATTTTAAAAGGATAATGGAAGGATAGCCTCATAAACCCTTTTTTCCTTTGTGATCATTAGCAAATTTTGGCTTGCTCATAACTTCAGAAACAAGCATACTCCTCAAATTTCTCCTTTTGTTTGAGTGCTTGAAAGAGGAAAAGAAAAAGTGGCAAATCAAATTATGTCAATCCTTAAAAGCTCTCTTCATCTTCTAAACTTCCTTGATATGTTCAGTACAAGTTCACGATTGTATTTGAACACATAGACTTCTATAGCCTTCTTCTAAGTTCCTTTCATAGTTGGGTTGGGATCTCTTCAACATCCTCCAACATAAAATCCAAGAATGATTTGTGCAATGCCATCTCTTTTCCATAATAATTTACCTATCAAAGCATTGAAAAGTGCATTTTTATGTATGATAATTGACTGCAACTAAATAATAATGGACTAAAAACAAGTTTAGCTTGATTATCTGCTACTTAACAGAGAATATTTTTTTGTGATAGCTTGTGTCACTTTTTCTTCCTCAATCTTCTTAACAACCTGAGCATCAAACATCTCATACAATGATTACATTTTTTATGTGCTCTAATGCATCAACTGATTTCTTAAAAAATAGCTCCAGGTAGTGAATTTATAAAAAAATGATTATGATTCAATTTTTTTTATTATTCTTTATGTTTGACAAAAAAAAAAAAAAGTTTTCATTTGAGCATATCTAAAACTGATGAAGTGTGATTTTAGTAATAAACAATAATAGATCTAGTGTGGGGATTGTGACTTTGGATGATCAAGTCATTAATAAGAGTACACATTGGTGAAATAGATAGGGATATTATTAGTAGAATTCAAGTTGGATGGTTGAAGTGGAGGAATGTATAAGGCTTGTTGTATGATAGAAAAGTCCATCTCAAACTTAAGGGAAAATTCTATAAGATGTTAGTGAGACCTGCAATGATTTATAGTATAGAATGTTGGCCATTAAAAGAGAAGCATAATATTAAGTGTTGCAGAGATGAGGATGCTCAAGTGGATGAGTGGCTTTACTCTTAGAGACAGGATACGAAATGAGCATATATGTGAAAAGGTTGGAGTAGCTCTAGTGGAAGATAAGATTAGAGAAACTTACAAGCACTAAAAGGAAAAAAAGGTTTATGACCCAAGACAGTCTCATCATCACTTTGACATCGTTCAGAAGAATCCTTATAATTTGATATCATATGATTATTGAAAAATTATATTTTTGGATATTACCAAACATACGTTAATGGTCATATATAAATTAAAAAATCAATTATTGTGATTCAAAGAATAATTATTTGATAACATTTAATAAATAAAAATTAAATTGCCAAAAAAATATAGAAAAAAATTAGAAGTCTAAGAATAATTAGTAATCAATAATAAAATCTTAGGTTATAATCAACTTACTCTAAAGCAAGCTTATGCAATACAAATACAGATGAGAAACTTACAAGCACTAAAAATAGCTCTAAAGAAGTATCTGATATCATATTATTACTGTAACCATGCACACAATAATATTCATTTCATTGACAAACTACAACGCTTCTTATGCTCTTATACAGAACAATTCTTGATTAAATAACAAAATTGTACATTGAAACTAAATAATAGTAGATAATATAATACAATACATGAAATATTTAAATGGTACTTCACATATTTAATAATAGCAGAACTTGTGGCGTTCTCAATAGAATTAATGGTCGAAACTATGTTTGAAGCAGACTGCATACATGAGCATGCGAAATCGAAGCAATCGAAAAACAAGAGGAAAGAGCTTTACCTTCGCTACAGCAGGTGACGAGGAAGCAAATGACGAACAGGAAGAAAGCTTGTCACCTTCATTGCGTGCTCTAACTTAACACGAAGCAGAACTCTACTTAGCATGTATAAGAGGAAGCTGCAACAGCGCATGAAGGGAGTTAAATCATTACCTTTGTTGCGAGCTACGTCGATTTTGACCGGAATGTGTCTATTGAAGGTGGTGAAGGAGTTCGCTTTTAGAACGTCTCAGTTCTCACATGAAGCAGGCAAGCCTACCCTAAATCTTATACTCGACTCGATCACTATCATGGTATTAAAACATGACAAGTAAATTGAGGCGGCGCCTCAATATGCCTCGAGGCGTACAACTCGTGAGAAAAGAGCGCACACCTCATCCGATCCATCAAGGCCTAACTCTCAAGTCGCCTCGAGTTGCGCCTCGAATTTAGGATCCGCTCGAGGCATTCGCCTCGTAAGAATTAACACTGAATACAACTCAAATGATTCATTGGCAAAAACATAAAGCTGTCACTAAATAATCGTAATAAGGGGGCTCTTGCTACTGCTGGTCGTGATGGTCATTAGCTGAGTAATGATTCTTGTTATTTGTTCATAAAAATTCGATCGCAGATGCTCCATTAATAGATTTTTATTTTCAATCAATCCAAATTACAGTTCAGCAAGGGGAATCAAACGGGCATGATGCTGTATGTGAGGCCAAGAACTACCATGTTTGAAATCCCATGCAGCATTGAACCTCAGTCATTTAAAAAATAATGGAAAGCGCAACTAACTATAACTATTTATAAATATATTCGATGATAATTGGCGCTGCAGCTAGCCCCTTCAATACTCGATATTGGTTTCATGAGCTAACTTATGGGGCTTACGCTGGCTTGAGTTTTATAGCAAACATATCTAATAATTATTCCTCAAGCTTGACAGAGCCTGATGAGCCTGCTTGTGATTTTTTGCTTATCTGTATAAGCTTCACTTTGTATATGTGTGCATGTTGAGTCGGATCTTATGAGATTTTTATAAATTTCATTTTCCACCTTTCCAATAGTGATTTTATTTTACTTTATTGTCATATTTTTAAGTCCTGTCTTACAGTGAAACTTTTCAATAACAATGAAGTTCTGTTTCGTAGGTTCTACAAGATTGCAGTAAATGAGACAATGCTGTGGTATCAGGTTAGTTTCTCGTGGCCTTTTAATTTTCTTATCATTTTCATTTTTCACTCATTTCTACTATTTTTGGTTGGAGGATCCTCATTGTACTTCTTATTATTTAAATTGTTAGCATTAAGAAAGCCATCAAGCCTTCTATCTTGTTTTGAATGGTCTCCCTTGTCTTATTTTTGGATTGATTTTCTTAACGATATTGCTTCAAATTAAACTAAAGTTTATGCTATTCAGGTCATTGATATTCAGCTCATCAATTTGTATGTGAACAGCTTTGCGATCAGATGATATTCAATCATGATCAGCCAAGATGTCTGAATTGTCAGGTAGTTTCTCCTTGGGCTGTTTCCTTTATCTTCTCTTGTATATTTCTTTCTATATTTCATGTCTATATTGCTTACACTCCAAAGTGGCACCCTTCAGACATCTGCAGTGTTATATCTGCATACTATTGATAATCCTTGAAAAAAAAAAAAAAACTAATTGTCAAAGTTTTCTCTGTTGCTCTGAATATACTTGCGAACTTAACCATTTTGATGGTGTTAACACCTTCAAATTCCACGTAATATACCATTAATTTCAAGTAAAATTCATAGGACACAAGTCCTTATTAGCCACTTGTTTGGTGATTTTTATTTATATATTGTAAGGTATGTATTATTGTTTATTCAGCAATGCACCAATTCTGTTTATTCTTGTTTGTTACTTTATCTATAATGGAATCTGAGCCTTCACCTTTTCTATATGATATGAGAAAACAAACCAAATAGAATTCTTCTAAAATTGAATTTGCACTTATTTTGCATCTTTATTTTTCAATCATTGGGCTTATATATTCTCATAAACTCAGTGTTTCTCATGTTTCTTCCTTGACTGTTCTCTTGGAAAATGTTTGCTTCCACTAGAGATGTGCTTTTCTTAATATGAAGATGTATGAAAAGAGGACAACTTTTAAAGAAATTGTTCTGATCTCTTATTATAAGAAATGTATTTTGGTAGGTTTTCTTTTAAAGAAATTGTTCTGATCACCTTTCTCTGTTTTTATTGTTAGCTTTGATATTTAGACATGGGATCAGGAAATTCATGAACTGTTGTTTGCAGCCAAGGTGGTATTAGAACTGTTTACCTCACATCGTTTTTGATTGGTTCTGCAGCTATATACTAGATTCATCGTGATAAATTGAAGGACACCTAAATCTAATATCATTAAATTTAGAAGCCTTCTAAATTGAATCTCTTTCTTATGGCTTTAGTCTTTGTTTATATATTATAATGACAAATTTAGCTAGCAAAAAGTAAACTAATAAATGAAACTAAGAACCTAATCTAATTAAAAAAAAGTTTCTTCTGAATTTTATTAACTTTTTTTTTTTTAGTTTGGTTTTGTACGTAGTGCCCTCCTAAATATCTTTGGATGTGTCTTGATATTAATCAATTGAATTGCTTGGTATGTGGTGCCATGGATGAAATCATTTTATTTGACTAAACCTTCTTTCTTATCCTTGCTGCAATAGGATTGTGGTGGCCCTTCCCGTTGTGGGATGCAGTGCAGTGCACTTACTGCAAACGACATAGGAGGTACTTCACTTCCGTTTCCTCTTGAATTTTCTGGCTACTTCCCCCTTACAGCGTTTCTCATCTGAAATAACTTTTTATTTTAGACTAAATTGCTTAAACATTCTTGCTAAACCAATTTTTATCTCCTCCTTGCATTGAATAAAATGCATCTCTTCATAACCTTTCTCTAAAATGAGTTGCATCTGATTCCACTTATTTTGAAGTCAGGAACGAATGAGAAAGTGATTGGTAAAATAATGAGTGAACATGGGCATCTTTTCCTTGCCTGTTTGCAAGAACCATGTAAAAGTTACTACGTTTTTCCGCATCAGCCTCCTCACCAAATGGTGAAGCTCTCATCAACTTTGCATGGAAGATTTCTGGCAATTCCTTAGAATAAGTAATAAGGATGTGGAACTTATTTACTGAACTTGCAGACGACCTATTGTTTTGAGTTGATTTTTATAGATTATGAGAAGTTTCTTAATTTGGGTGCTTTGTAGATTATAAAGAGGACCCTTGAGACTTAGTGAACATTAAATATTGAAATACAATCGGTTTTTCTCTCTTTGTTTATGTGATTGTTGGATATGTCTTTTTCGAGTGCTTCAAGGTGTGGATTGCTACTTCCTGAGAGAGACTTCTTGTACTAACATGAGGTCTAGTTCTTCCTTCTGGGGGTGATTTCTATCATTGCCCTATTAAATTGTTAAATCACTATTTTTGTGTTCGATTGAAATCTTGACAAGGGAGATAGGCATCGGGCTTTCTTTTTGAAGTGTAAACTTGACTTGTTGCTGAAATTTAATGTTCGTTACTATTTCTTTTGGAATTTTATTTTTTGTGCGATTGTTAAAATTATACCTTAGAATGAACAAAGCATTCTTGCTGTTTCTGTATTATTTCAATTTTTTTGTTCAAATAATGAGTTGTTAATGTATGGATTATTGTTTTTTTATCTTGCATCTTTTCCAATGTTGCATAAGAAACTCTACATCCTTAACCATCCTATGTCACCTATTCAATGTTGTTTTTGAGAGTTACAAACTTTAAAAAGAAAAACAGAGATGACTTTGATATTTGAGGGTTGATATTATGATTAACTGTGAAGTATAGGAACATCATTTGATTGTGGGATGGTAATTCTAGAAAAGGTTGTGAATAATGAGGATGAAAGCCGGTGGATGGCTACAAGAAATCTAAGAAACAATCAATACAAATTATGCCCTGAATGAAATTCACCATAAAATGAAAATCTTGCGCATCACATTTGACAAAATTTCAATCACGCATACACAGAAATTAAAAAACAATTAAGATGAAAGGACAAATGATAAAGTTTCTATTATGAAAATCGAAGCCTTATGCCTGTATAACGAAAATCATTCCCTGGAAGCTATCATCATGGCCTGCTAGTGTTCAAAAAGAACCGTATCTAACAATGCATCTTCATATTGAGAGAAAATAAGACCCTTTTTACTTGGAATTTATTCAAGTTTGTGTGCCTCATAGGTTTTTTTATAACCCAAAAGACCCAAAATTAGTAACTTCCCAAAAATCCATAAAAAATTAACCTAATACTACCATTGTATAAATTGCGCAATATGAGGCTTGCCTTGAGGCCTGCCTCAATGCAATTTCAGTGAAAAACACCTCGAGGCTTCCGCCTCAAGTTTTTTTTATGAGGCTTGCGCCTCAGCTTGGTTAAGGCCCGCCTCGCCTTGCTGGCATGAGTCTTACGCCTCACCTATTTATATATTTTTTGATTTAAAACTTGCATAAATTCTAAAGTAAAGCAACAAACAAATCACATGTTCATACACCCCCGAGTCGCAACAATTTCCTCTCAACTGCCTTAACCTCCATCCCGCTAGCTTCACTGTAGCTACCACCGTCGAAGCCGCCATCAAGGATCTCTTGAAAGTCACACACACCACCACCTCCTCTCTAAAAATTTTAGAGTATTAATTTCATCTTTATGTTGATGAAAAATATTTAGGAATGAGAAAGATGACTGCAATAAATGAAGAAGAAGCATATTGAGAGGTATTGAACTCCACAGTATGAGACTGGAGAGAGATCAATTTGTTATAATGACGACTCAAATAAAGACTCCCTCAGTGATGACAGTACAGATGATTTTCTTGTTAGAAATTAAATATGGATGAGTAGGGAACTAAGAAAAAAAAAATGGAGTTGAACTTAATATTATGTGATATTTTTATGTAATTTTTATATTTAATATTTTTTTCTCATGTAATATTTGTATTTTAATTATATTTTATGTAATTTATCACTTGCCACTTTACGTATCATGTAATTTTTTGTTTCATATGAATATCAATTTGCTACTTCATAATTAAATAAAAAGATAATATGTCATCTTTTAACATACTATTTGAATATTATATAAAAAAGCACTTTTAACTTTTATTTGCACTTTACACATTTTTTTTATTTTGAGACTTACGTCTCGCCTCACGAACAAAAAAAAGTCTCAATACCCAATTGTGCAATATTAAACATTGAATACTACATGTTTCAGTTCACACATTTGAATTCCCACAAGTGCAGATTTCCAACCTTAAATCTCAATAGAGCTTCAATTTTAAAATATTCATTTAATCAATTCTAACAAGTTTCATTCTTTTTACGACTACAAAATGCCATAAAAAGAAACGAAATCAATTAGTTGAACATAAACTATTATACCCACAAAGAAAAATTGTTGAAGAAAAGAAGTCGTTGAAGAAGGAAAGCCAAAAATTGGCACGTCAAATCTATAAGCTGGTGTCAGAAGGAAATTGAAAAATTGCCACATATGCTATAATACTCGAGTGAAATAGAGCTACAGTCCAATACTCGGTAAAAGGAAATAGGGAAACCATAGAGTATTAGGGTCCACAGGAATGAAGGGAAGATTGGAACATGAATTGCAGTTGATGCCAACCTAGTCGAAACCACTAATAGAAGTAAACCAAAGATTAATGAGTAACTAATACATTGACATAAAATTTCTCAGACATCAAATATTGCATCAATATTGAAGTGGTTGTACATCGATATAAAATTCTCCATAAGAATTTAAAATAGTTTATTTTGCCTCATCTAACTTTTCAACAACAACAATAACAACATCAAGTCTTTATCCCACTGTGGAATCGGCTACATGAATCCTTTTTCTTCAAATTTTTATTTAAATCTAATAAAAATGTCATTTTTAATACTTTCTAACCAAGTCTTTTTAGGTCTACCTCTACATTTTTTAACATAGGCTAGATCTAATGCATCAACTCTCCTAATAATGTCATCTGAAAGTCGATTCTATATGCAACCAAACCATTTAAGACGACTTTCTCTAATTTTATTATCACTAGAGCTACTCCAACTTTTTCATGCATATACTAGTTTCACATTCTATCTCTAAGTGTAAATCCACTCATCCACCAACACTTAATTTTATGCTTCTCTTTTAATGACCAACATTCTATGCCATAAAGCTTTGTAGGTCTCACCACGATCTTAGAAAATTTTCTCTTGAGTTTGAGAGATACTTTTCTATCACACAACAGTCTCGATGCATTCCTCCAGTTCAACCATCCAATTTGAATTCTGCTAATAATATCCCATCTATTTCACCATCGTTTTGAATAATAGACTTGAGATATCTAAAACGTGTACTTTTTTAATGACTTGATCGCCCATTATCACAATCCCACCATTAGATCTATTATTATAAAAAGTACACTCTATATTTTTGATTTTAGATTTACTTAAACAAAAACTTTTAAACTTTAATGTTGACTTCCATAATTCAAGTTTTTCATCAACTCTGTCTCTAGTCTTATCAATAAGAAGAATATCATCAGTAAAAGCATACACCAAGCAAATGTCTAGTATGAACATCCATGACTAAAGCAAAAAGATACGGGCTTAAAGCTAATTCCTGATGTAATTCAATTGAAATAGGAAAATACTTGGTGAAACAATCTTGTGTTTGAACACAAGTGATAGCTCCTATATATATTTATATATCCTTAATGACTTGAATATAAGCTTTGTTAATTCCTTTATTTTCTAGAACTTTCTAGAGTATTTCTCTTGGAACTTTATCATATGTTTTCTTCAAATCAATAAATATCATAGGAAGATTCTCCTTACTCTCACTATACTTCTCCATCAAACCCCTCAACAAATGTATAGTTTCCATAGGCCTACTTAGCATAAATCCAGGCTGATTTTGAGAAACACTAGTATCACGTCGTAACCTATGATCAGTTACTCTCTCCTATAATTTTAATGTATGATACATTAACTTAATTCCTTTGTAATTCGCACTCTTTTACATCATCTTTATTCTTAAAAATTGGATCCAGCCATTATTTAACTTTTTGCTATGGAGGAGTTTGGTTTGAAGTAAAATGAGTGTAAAGTAGTCCAAATACAAGGGTTTTGATAATATTGATGTTTGGTTTGAAGTAAAATAAATGTAGTATAAAATTTTGATAGATTTGAGATTCACTATCTAGTTCATTTTTGATGTATTTGGAATTCCTCAAATTTATGCGAGTTTGAAATATATCATAAATTCATGGCCATTGCCACTGCCCGTTGCTAGCAACCACCACCACCAGCACTACCACTGTAGTCATCGCCACCACTGGCCATTGCCAACTACCGCAACCGCTGCCACCGACACCAACGATCGCCATTGCCGGCATTCGCCACCAACATTGCCAGCCGCCACTATCGATGCCAGTATCTACCATTGTCGTCGCTGACCACCAGCTACCCGCTGTCGTCACTGCCATTGCCACCATCTACTTCGTCAATTGCTGGCCGGTGTTGGCCACTGCTGACCCACTGTCTATCACCACTGCTGCCGGCTACCACACCACCAACCACAACGCTTTTTGGACTTTACGTTTCATTCATTTTATTTAAAAAAAAAAAAAAAAACATGCATTCATTTTACATTTATCTAAATAATTCTAAAATATTCTTTTTACACTACATTCCTT